TGCTACTCGACCGAGTTCTTTTCTATTTCCTTTTCTTGGATTTCAAGGGAAAAAAACATGGCAGCTGATATGCTTGCTAAACAATGTTTGTATCTAGGATTTGAGCTAAATGCTCCATCCTGAACTTATTTATATGAATGAATGCTTGTGTTTCAAAAAAATAATAACAGACACTAGATTTTGACCCGCGCTTAAAAGCGCGGAATTTTTTTATGATTAAAAATTTATATAATTAGATTTTGTCATAATTTAAATAATATTTTGATATAAAATCAGTTCACCAAAATTTGTGGTGATGATTGTTTTTCATTAGTTTTTAGGTTCAGTTTTTATTTTTAGATTTTGGATTTTGGATTTTGGTTTTTAAGTTTCTACTTTTCATTTTCAGTTTTTGGTTTGGGTTTTTAATTTTTAAACCCGCTGAGTTATTTTGAACAAATATTACCAACAAACAAATCTCAAATAATCGAACATCTAATTTAAAACTGAAAAGATGAAAAAAAATTTTGTAAATAAACAAAGCAAAAAAATATAATATGTGTTTTCAGCTTTTGGATTTGGATTTTAGTTTTTAAATTTGGTTTTTGGTTTTGCTTTACATTTTTTAATCAATAAATTATTTAAGAAAAATAAAAAAATAAATTATTTAAAAGTTACCATTGAAATTTATCAAAACAAAGTGATTGTTATTTAAAATAAAAAAATATATTAACATGTTTTAAAGTACATGATTTAAATAAATGATTAATAATGGATAATTTTGTTTAGTTAAAAATATTAAATACATTTTGGGTCTGAAAATAATAATTGATTTTTTGATCTTTTAAGGTGAAAAGTTTATTCAATATTTTTGGAGTTTTTTCTTAATACTAAGCGCAAAAACCAAACTATATAATTTGTTCAAAAAATAAAAGTAAGCCAAAACTATATTCCATAAATAACCACTGGTTTAATTTAAGTATAATTAGTAGATTTCCATATTCCATATTTTGATGATATATATTCTTTTAGAATTCCATATTTGTAGGAGAAAATATGTGTTTTTGGTATACATATAGATATCTGCCGTATTTTGAAGGTAGTTTACATTAAAGTCGTTTTTTACATTAATTTTGTTGGTTTAATTTAAGTAATACGGTTCAATTAATTATATGACTTATATTATTTATAACATTTTAGAAAGAGTCCAAATTTAAATGACAACTTGTATCAGTAGATAAAAAGAATGATTCTATTTTAATAGAGTAGATGATACATAACATTGTTGGCTTGTGACAAAAAAAAAAAAAAAACATAACATTGTTGGCTGGCTACTAAAAATTCATAAACGGATTATGGAAAAAAATAGTGATTAAGATGTCTCACTCTCTCACTATGTTTTGGACGGATTTTTTAATTGACTTGATCATTTTTGTAATTGATGAAACCATGATGTTACTTCACAAAAGCATAGCATTAGATGTATAACAATAACAAGTGACAATGCGGAACAGTTGGTCTGAATGTAACTCTGTAAATTAAAAAATGGTAATAGTTAAGCATCTTGTACTAGAGAAAAAGGTTTAAAATATCACTACTCTCACTAACTTATTTAGACCAAAAAAATATCACTACTCTCGTAACCTTACGTATTGTCATCATTAACTTCAGTTGATTCTTCTGTAACTACACGGAGATCTTCAGAAATTAATAAAAAAAACTTGATCCTATAATAAACATACTAGAATTTGACCCGTGCGCCCGCACGGGTATTTATATATATATATATGACAAAATTACTAAATATATTGTGTAAATTTAGTGTACATATTGTACAAATGTATAACAATATTCAGATCTTATAAGGGTGGGCATACGGTACCCATTCGGTTCATGTGTACTCGGTTTCCGATTTTTGGGGTTAAATAATTTATTCTCATTCAAATATTTAGAAATTTCATTTTGAGTTCTGTTTGGATCTTTGCGGGTTCGGGTTCAAATAACCAGTTTAATTTGTTATAAAAACTTTTGATTCATATATAATTTATACTTTTTAAAATCTAAAAACAAATATAATATATAACATATAAATTTGAATACTGTATATCAAGAAACCTAAATTTAACCTAAATTATTTTAGTGTTTTGATTGTTATTTAGTTATTTTAGATATTTATTTTTGACTATTTTTTTATATATTTTCGAATATTTTAGACAACATAAAAAAATAGTATACATTTTGGATAATTTTTTGGATACTACATCTAAAAATAGTTAATATATTCAAGTATATAAATCTGATGCAAACATATTTCAGTTCGGATCGAAATTAGTTTTTTGGATATCAAAATTTTGAACCCTTTCAGATATTTAACTAATTTCGATTCGGATTCCATATTATTTTTTGATATTACTTTTTTAATCGGATTAAGTTTGGTTCTTCGGATTCGGATTTTTAGCCTAGCCTTAAGGTTTTACTACTAAATATATTACTATACAATGTTTTTACGTTGTTGATATGAAGATCTTTTATCCTCTATTAATAAGAAATATCAATTATTATTGTAGCATTTGATACAAAATAATATTTGTAACAATCAGATAAAGGGAAATCTTCAAACAATGAAAAGACGAACATAGTTTTTATAAGAGTTGTATATCTTATTGTCATAAATTTCATTAGTATTTTCTATTACTTTTTTAAATTACTATATATTCATTACTTTGTGTATTTCTTAGGCCTCGTATTTTTCTTTTCATTTTGAAAATAATATATTATATCTATATCACAACTATTTGTATATTTTGTTGTTTTCTTGATTAAGTTCTCTTTTAGAATAACCCAAAAGCTGTAGAAGATCCGTAAACAAAAATTAAATAAAAGATTAAAGAAAATGATTAAAACACCTATTTGAGAAGTCATGTAGATGATTGTGTGATGTAAATTATTGAATATTATCATCTCACCTTGTCATTACCCCTCCTAAACATCCCCGCTAGTTGAAAATATAGGTTGTTGTATTCTTGTGAGCTTCCTCACAGTTTTATGAAGCTTAATAACTACCTTGTTATATATAGACTACAGAGAAAAAAAAGAATCATAAAAAATCTGTCAATCATAATTGTTGTACCAGTTGACTACATTTGTTAAAGAGCTATATTTCAAATAGCTGTAGCCAAAGATATGAAAGTTGTAGAGCAATAAAAGTGAACTTACGGTTAACTTTTCTCTTATATTTTTATGCACTACAGGGAACACAAAATCATCTTTGACACTGCATCAATTTAGTAAACCAAGTCAGGATGCATATCCAGAAATTTCAATAAAAATGGATTATATGATTGTTCAAAGATCAAAGCCTAACAAAAACGATTATTTTTTTATCGAAGATCTTCTCTGCTTTCCTAAAAAAACTAAACAAAGGAATATTAGTGGATTAATAATTTGACCCACATATAGTGGGAAGTTAGTTTGGTAAGTGAACAATCCGAGAATTTTGGTATAAATGTGTTTAATAATTTGTGGTTAATTAAGAGATATTGTTTCAATGGCGGTAAATATTAAGGAAAATTTAGGGTTAATTCCAATTTGTACACCCCTTTTAATAGATTAGATTAGAGCAGGTCCATAACAAATCCTTAACATTAGTCCTTAGGATTAATTTAATATAATATTATTATTTAACCTGATAAATCAAACGATTAATCCTTAAAAAGGGATTTGAAGAGGCTGATCTTTGTCTACGTGGCAGCCGCGTTTGACGGGTTTCTTAATGGAAAAAAAAAATCTCATTTTGTTTCGAAACAAAAAAAAACGAGAGCTCTGGAGAGATTGAGGCGATTTCGAGACGAGAAGCTTTCTTCCACGAGATTCATTCTCTGCAGAGAGCTTCGAAGAAGAACAACGGAAAGCTTCTTCCTTTTTATTCTCTCACACTTCCCATTTCAATTTTGATTGTTTTAAAAGACCAAAAACGGAGCGTGAGGGCACAAAATCGCTAAGCTATGAAGCGATTCTTCAAGCCCATAGAGAAAGACGGCTCAGCGGCGGCTAAGAAGCCCTGTTTCTCGCCGGGAAAACGCGACGGAGACGGAGAAGGAAAGAACCAGAAAGAGCCTACAAAGTTTGTGACTTGGAACGCTAACAGCTTCCTCATTGCCATACAAGTGATTTCTTTTGCTTCCTTTTTGATTCAATAGGAGGTTGATTCCGACCAATGTACGTTGATCTGGTTAGGTGTTTGTGTCTGAATCCCTTGCAAACTGACTTATGGTTGCTTATGATATTAGTTTCTCTAGTGTTTCTCAAGTAAGCTTTTGTGTCTTGGGTTCATTCTTTAAGTTGAGAATATGGAGTTTGTTACAAGTTATAAGAAAAGTTAAAGATATCAAAAATTTCGAGCTGATCTATTGGTTCTCTTGAGAACTCATCGGTGTTGCTTCGATCAATACGAAGACGCCGTGCCGTTGTTTCTTCGGGTAGAAAACTGGATTCTTATTAGTTAATCCAGAGTCCATCTTTTCTCTCTTCAACACAGAAACCCTAGGGGCATGAGAGGCATTGTCTCATTACATTCACAGAACAAAACGATGGTTCGTTGTCAAAACAAATAGGTAGAAGACTGTATTTTATTATTACCCCAACAAGATTTGATGGTTTGACTTAATCTGACCCGTATAGTAGTTTCCTAAATATAGTTTTAAGCCAATGTTATATAATAGTGCAAATCGGATAAGGAAATATTCCAACATACTATATACGAAGAGAGAATTAAAAACACTATTAGGGACGTTATATTATTAGCTGAGTGTTATATTTATTAGTTGAGAGTATTTATTATATACACAAACAGACTCATCAAGAGATATCTAATTAAATACGATGAAAACACAAACGAAGAACATTTATCGGCTAAAGGAAAAGGCTGCAGCCATTATTACACAAGAGCTAGTACATCGTTATGATTATATTATTGCTTAATTAAAGACTCTGATTATATCTCTGCTTTCTTGAATATTTATTCATTTACAGGTGCAAGGGTCACACTTGCAGTCAGATCCACACTTGCATGCATCGTTCTCAGCGTTACCCTCGCCGGAAGCCTCGTATTGGTTCTTCATCGCCGGTGCAACGCCAAAGACAAAAGTCTCAGTTGTTTTAGTCTCGCCGGAAAAGCCCAAGTCCGGGTACATTTTGCAACTGCAACAACCGAACAATCACGTCAGGTTTTGAATGAAAGCAGAGTTCATAAATTAACAAAAAAAAATACAAAAGTTCCTAAATATTTCCGGATGATCTATGGATTCAGAAATTTTCTCTAGCTTACAAATATCTAAAAAGGAAGCTCAAGACTTACCCTCGGCATCCGCTGCCGCATTTGCAACCGGATCCACAACCACAGTTTCCTCCGCAGCAAGACATTTTCTAGAGAAAAATCGAAGAAGTCTCGGGAAAAAAAGTATTAACCAAATCGATCGATAGGAGATAATCACAGAATGAATTTGATGATAGATGAAGCTCCCAAATTTATAGGCTAAATGAGAGAATATTTGACCATGCACGTGTAGCAATTAATCTTTCTCCGCTCTTATCTTCCATGCAACGTAGATTGATTCTCGTACGTCCGTTTGATTATTGTCGGGTCAATAATTGCGGAGTGTGTTTGTTTCTGGAACTTCCTAGAGCGTGCCGCAGTTACGTGTGTCACAGTCAACACCGTTCTTGTTTACACCACAGTACATGAAGATCTAAATCAACGGTTGGATTAACCCACAAGCACGCATATGACCCGTCACTTGATACTAGGGACTTCAAAATACATGTGGAGATTAATACCCTGTGATTATTAGTAAACGAATTTTTAAAGTAGCTTTAATGAGGAGTTCTCAAAAAGGTTCTCAAACATAAAAATTAAAGATGTTAACAAACAAACAATCAATCTCATAGTCGGAATCGATCGCCATGAACAGATTTTAGGCTTTGCTCTTCTTTGGCGATTTTGGATCTTGGAAACAAAGTGGAACAACATTACGAGTCTCCCTTCTCCTTGGTCTTACCGCATAAACATGTATAAACATACAAATAAGCCACGTTTGTAAAATAACATATATTTTGGTATTATAAATTTGTTCCACAAAAAAAAATCATATCTGATTTGATTTTGTATAGTCAGCTGAACTGAAGATACTGGCTGAGAACAAATCAAAGACTAAGCCAATTCATTTTCAGCTAGATATATGGCATGAAACGGAGTGATGAATAATTAACACTCTAGTTTGATTTAGGCCATTTTGATATCGGTCTTTACATTAAGTTTTTTATTTTTTTCAAAAAAGGGGAACAATCTCAAATAAAGTTCATTTGATTCATTTTTGTTTATTTTAGCTCCTCTTCTTATGGGTTGTTCTTCATATAGTGGAAAAGCTGTAACTGAATAAAGTGGACTATATACAACCTTAGGATAGTTTATGGATAACGGTTTGGTCCGGTTCAAACCAAATCAGACATCTCTATTTGACTATGTTTAGGAGTAGATGGGAAACGAGTATACCAGCTGGTTACACATCACCAACCGAAAACGAAATGAATGCAAATAACTTTCAGATGTCTCCATTTCTCGAAAGTTTCTCAAAAGTTTAATTTTGTGCAATAATTTTCAAATTCTTTTTGACGTGACCAAAAAAAGAACTCAAATATCTAAGAATTAAGATATGCTGCTCCCATAACACTGGAGGAACTTCTTTACACAACAACCAACCTCGTTACAATACGTAACGATTACAATATCATATAAATATCCAATCTCAAGAGATTCCAACGTGAAAAATATGCCAATATGGATTGTTGACATTGTAATAATGTCTCACCAATCAACTTCATTAGGATACAAAGCTTTCTCTAGGACTCGACCCGATCAAGAATTCAATGAAATGGCTGCTCCTCGGATGAAGAAATTAAATACCAGAAGCAGAGGGGATGGTCAATGCAGCTATAAGGCAAGTTCAGGTGAAATTCATGTTTTAACAATAAGGGTTGCACGGGTAAGGACAGTCAATTAGCTTCACCGGCTTGCGGTTGAAGTACCAGTCACCTACAGACTCCGCAATTGTCTGTTCCAATAACAAAACAGAACAGAGACGAACGGGATCAGTTCACTTGTAAGAAGGAAAAAAATCAGCCAATTGTGTGTCAAATGCCTTCTTGACCTTATTTTTAATTCTTGTTGAGGTTGGGGAGTGCCACGTCATTGGCTTAAGTATCTGGGAATGAGAGTAGCAAGAATCTATGAACATCCCACCAGCTTTCTTCTGATGAAACTTCCCAATGGCATCCATTAGAGAGCCGCGAAAACCTGCCGGCAGATGTGTTTTTATACAACAAACCTTTAATAAAGTAAAAAAATTAGGAAAGCGTTTTCAAGAATAATACGATCCAAGAGACTAGAATAGATCATATCATGATATAGGCCAAAGATATCCCTATATATTATTTTAAAAACATTATAACATTTTAATGATGTCATGTGTCATTATTAGAATGACTTTTAAAATTCTTAAAACGTAAGTTCGTATATCTAAATATATACTATATTTTTATTAAACTAATTATAGAATTAATTATTAATATATAACAAATATTTTTTTCCTTAAATAAAAGCTACGAAATTATATATATATATATATATATATATATATATATATATAAATTAACGATTTTGAATACTAAAGATTTGAATGTTTACCATCTATCATTTTTGTTTAATTTTATTTATTAAAATAAATTAAATAATTATATTAACCATATGATAAAAAATATAATTTCTTAGATGTTATATTTTGAACTTTTAGAAATGATTTATAAATTAATAATATTATTACAAATTATAGATTGACAATTTTGTAATAATTTTTTAATTTTTTTATAACAAGATACAATGATCATAAAATTAACCATATGAGTATGAAATTTTATTTAATAGATATTCAGATATATATATATATATATATACATACAGATCTTATAAATTAAACTGTAGACCATATAAAATACATAAATATTCAAATTTGAAATTTTACATTGAACAAGTATTGAGAATTTAATATATATTTTTTCAAATTTTGCATTGAAATTTTTGAGACGATAATTAACTACTTAAAATAGACAAAGTCTAATATTGAAAATTTTGTATAAATAATTTTAAATCTTTGTTATATAAAGATATAAATGATCATAAAACCATGTGAGCAGTAGAAAGCCTCATTTAATAGATAGTTATATTAAAGTATACTAAGTTTAATTATATATCATATTAAATAAATAAATGATTGTAAATAAATAATAGTGATTATTTTTATTTATATGTTCACGCCAATTTAGTTATGTATGTAATAGTTACTGGCTTTTCTGTTATTCAATATATTTTATTTTATTATTTCATAATATGTAAAGAATATAAATAAATAAAATACACACATATATATATATATATATATATACAGTAGATTCTCTATAAATTAATACTCGATAAATTAATAATCTCTATAAATTAATAAATTTCACCGGTCCCAACTTGGGCCGGTGTAAAATATGACACATATGGATAAAATAATAAGATAATAATATTTTTAAAATTGTCATGTAAATATATGGTCCCACTAAAATCATAAATTAATAATTTAGCTATATATAATTTTATATAAGTACAATCTAACATTATATTGTTGGTTTTATATTTACTATAAAAGTACTTTTATTTTTTTAAACATTTCAATATATTTTGATCATATTTAGTTAGGGGTTTTATATTTACTATAAAAATATTTTTATTTTTCAAAACATTTCAATATATTTTGATAATATTTAGTTAAATTATATTCAAAACATGTAACAATTCTATGAAACATAAAAATATACACTAAATAAGATAATAAAACAATATAAAAGTCAAATTTCTAAAATTTAAATAATATACATATGCTAAAATCAAATATATTTTTATTTTATAAATAAAAATGGGAAAAAACAAAAAAAAAATTAACTAAGGAAATTTTCGTAAATTAATATCTCTATAAATTAATAAAATTTCAAAGTCCCAACATTATTAATTTATAGAGGTTTTACTGTATGATGTTTAACCTAGCATTAGACTAAAGGTAATGCAAGGGACTAAAGCAGATCACATCTACTGATTGTACTTAGATATTTTATGATACTACTGGCTTAGTGTCATTAAGCTTGACCAATCAGTGGAGTAAATTACCATGTAGAACTTTCATCTGTTCAGCATCACATTCTTTAATATTGAGTCTACACTTTGCCCAACTTTTATCTAGATTAGCAGAAGCTGGTACCAAGACATGTTGAATCTGAATATGTGCTTGGTATTAGTAACACAATAAATATAAATTGCAGTAAAAGCAAGCAAAACATGTTGAATCTGAATATGTGTTTGGAGTTAGTAACACAACAAATATAAATTGCGGTAAAAGCAAGTGGAAACTGTAGAAAAGTTCAGAATTCCAATGTAGTAAGTCTAACCTGCCAATAATCATAAGCTGCGTTGACAAGAAAGACTGGTGTTCTTATGTTGTTAACGAATTCTTGAGGAAACATACACTGCAAACCATAATATATAAAAAGTCTCAATACTAATTATAATCAGAGGAAAAAAGATATTAAAACCTACCTTGGATGGATCCTTTCTAGCTACACATTTCTGATCCAAGCTCTTATCTAGGCCCTAATTGGAATCAACCACAGCACACCATCCCAAAATCATGCAGACAAGAAAACCATGATATGTTCTTGTTCATCTCAATGAAAAGGTCAAGGAAATATACCCAAAATGTATGGTCTCAACTAATATACCTGCAGTTTAACAACATCATGATAGAAAGATCTCATGGTAGGGTTCCCAAGGACATCAGGCCTAAAAAGAAGGAAAAATAGCTTTACTTAGAGACTTAGAGGCAGATGTTAAACTGATTTCACTTTCACATTAGCTTTCTAGCTTTATGGAGTATAGTCTCCATAGAATTCTAGAAAATTCTTACAGGTTTTGTTTCTTTAAACCAAAGAACTCAACAAAAGAGCAAAGACTCTGTAAGAAAATACAGTTTATGAGTGGAAACATACACGTTAAGAAAAAAGCCTCCGTCAGAAACACACTTAACAGATGCATCATTTGGCAGATGATCTCTAAAGTAGTCACAATGTATAAGAGCTGCCAAGCCACCAGCAGAACCTCCTGTAAGTATACCCTACATTTTCTCAATTTTGTATAAAAGAAAGAAAAAAGTAAGTATTAACACAAAATATAGGATCAAGAGGACCTTCATGGTCACCAATATATCATTAACACAATGTAAGCTCAAGAGGACGCTACTGCTACCTGTTTGGCATCTGACATGCCCATTGACAACAGTTCATCCATAATCGCCTCCCAGATGAGCTGGCCCCGGAAGAAAAGACGTGTTTCGTTCTGAGAAGAGATAGAAACATGAAACTAAGGACCATCTTTTCCTGATAGAGCCTGACACAGTGACATACAACTTCTCAGCTAGTTATTTACCTTTAATTCAGCTTCAGGACGTCCAGAAAAAGAAGCACCATCACAATAACGTATCTTAACTCTGTTCCAGTTAAAGAAATCTACAGCACCAAAGACAAACTATAGATCCAAAAACTGAACATACTTTACAAGACATTACAGAATCATATCTCTTTTACCAGGGTTTTGAGATGGGTCACTGCTTAAAACACCTTGAAAAGACACTTCATGTTCAAAGTAGTTGGAAGAGCCTAACCTAGTCATTGCTCGAGCAGAACATGACGCTATTGTATTGCACCAGCTTCCTCCCTTTTTGATACATTTCACTCAAATATATTCTAATTTTTTTTTAAATCAACAACACACAAGATTACCTCAAGATGAATAAGCCAGCTTTTGGTGCCTGATCCTGAACCCTTACTAAAGTGGTAACCAGGCAAGCTTCCATCCAAGCATACTGCAAACATAACATAACTCTCAATAACAAAAAATTCTGAGAGGATAAGTTGGAGACAAGTGGTGACATTACATGCTCCTCTCTCTTTAGCTTTACTAGACAGCTTGAGTTTGACCAGATCAGATGGGGAAGTGATGGGAGGATTATGGTCAACGGAAGGGACAGAGTCTGACGTGGGGTCGAAGAATAAAGAGAGGGAGAACAAAATCAAGAGGAGTCCGAAGGAAGCAACAAGCCAATTGCTCTTACCCCATTTCCTGTATCGAATCAGAGAGCTAAACGTGGAATTCGCCATTGAAGAGGGGAAAAGACAGAACGAAACAAAAAAAAACAACTCTGTTTTATTACATATGAGGGTCCCACTATGTAGTAGGCGCCAGTCACGTTCGTCAATGAAAGCAACCTCATCATAACAGCTTAAACAAAGTTACGTTGACCGAAAATAAAATAGAATAACTAAACTTAAAAGACACGTTTTGCAAATCGATATACCGGTTTGAATCGGTTTTGTGTAAAATTTGGAATGTTGTTGTGTTTGCATAACCTGAATTAGCTTCGTAATTTTGTTTCTTGATCAAGTAATGTCTACACTGCTCAAGATCAAATGAAAGAACGTAAGCTCGATCACACACTAGTGCTTGTTATCTTTTTCTATGATTTTGTGAAGTAATAACATCATGGTTGCGTCAATTTTACAGGATCTGTACAAAGCAACTAACATTATTTATGATTTTGTGACTGAAAGGTGAGTTTTAAAGAATTCAATTACAGTCGAATTTATATCGACCATGTTTATGTAAAAATAACTATAATGTATTTGATGAATAGAGAGACACTAATTAACCAAAAAAAAACTGTAACTAAATAAAAACAAATGACAAGAGGAGTGAGAAGCTTGGGACCTTGACCTCATGCACGACTTTGGTACATCTTCGCAATAATCGGTTTACAAATACTCTCTACCTCCTTCATCTTATCCTCAAACTCATCACACTCAGCCAAGTGATTCACTCCAAGCCACTCAATAGCTGCTTTAACCGAGTCTTCAATCTTCTTCTTATCATCAGCCGCAAGCTTCTCCCCAATCTTCACGCCACGGATCGTGTTCCTCATCTTGTACACGTAGTTCTCAAGAGCAGTTTTAGCTTCAACCTTCTTCTTGTGATATTCATCCTCAGTCTTATACTTCTCCGCTTCTTGAACCATTCTCTCAATCTCATCCCTCGAGAGCCTCCCCTTGTCGTTGGTGATTCTGATCTTGTTCTTTTTCCCTGTCGTCTTGTCCTCCGCCGAGACGTTGAGGATACTGTTCGCGTCAATGTCGAAGCTTACAATGATCTTAGCTACACCTCTTGGAGCTGGCGGTATACCAGAGAGCGTGAACATACCCAAAAGGTTGTTGTCATTGCTCATTGCTCTCTCACCTTCGTAAACTTTGATCGAGACACTAGTTTGGTCGTCTAAGAAAGTTGTAAAGACTTTCTCCTTGTTTGTAGGGATGGTCGTGTTTCTCTCTATCAACACATTCATGACTCCTCCAACGATTTCAATACCTAGAGAAAGCGGTGTTACATCAAGCAAGAGAAGATCTTGAACCTTCTCGTTACCTTCACCGCTTAAAATCGCCCCCTGAACCGCTGCGCCGTACGCAACGGCTTCATCAGGGTTAATAGATTTACACAACTCTTTCCCTTTAAAGAAGTCTAGAAGCAACTGCTGAACATTAGGGATACGTGTCGAACCACCGACTAAAACGACGTCGTCCACAGAGTTTTTATCCATCTTAGCATCACCAAGACACTTCTCAACAAGCTCCATGCAGTTTCTGAAAAGATCCATGTTAAGCTCCTCGAATCTCGCACGTGTGATTGGGGAGTAGAAATCAATACCCTCGTGTAAAGAGTTAATCTCAATATTGGTCTGAGCTGTAGATGAGAGTGTCCTCTTGGCTCTCTCACAAGCCGTTCTCAACCTCCTTAACGCTCTAGGGTTTCCACTAATATCCTTCTTGTTCTTCCTCTTAAACTCTTGAACAAAATGATTCACCATTCTATTATCAAAATCCTCACCACCTAGATGAGTGTCACCAGCAGTGGCCTTAACCTCAAATATCCCTTCGTCAATAGTCAAAAGAGACACATCAAAAGTACCACCACCAAGGTCAAAGATCAAAACATTCTTAACTCCAACACTAGTCGCCTTCTTGTCCAAACCATAAGCAATAGCAGCAGCGGTCGGCTCGTTGATGATACGCATAACGTTCAAACCGGCGATGACACCAGCGTCCTTTGTCGCCTGACGTTGAGAGTCGTTGAAGTAAGCTGGAACAGTGACGACAGCGTTTTTAATAGTGGAGCCGAGGTAAGTTTCAGCAATCTCACGCATCTTGATGAGAATCATGGATGAGATTTCTTCAGCAGCAAACTCTTTGTCTTGACCTTTGTAGTTTACTACTATCATTGGCTTCTCAGCTGGTCCTGCAATGATCTTGAAGGGCCATAGCTTCATGTCGCATTGAACTGAGCTGTCGCTGAATCTACGTCCAATGAGCCTCTTGGCATCTGTCACATGACAAAGTCAAAAAAATTTAAAACCACAAGAAAAGTACAAAAAAAAACTTTTAAATGAAAGTCAATATTCATATTGTTATTAGCAAAAACCCTAACAGTATCACAATCTAACGAATTCAAACGCGTTTCACTATCTATTTCCTAAAATCTTGGAAGCATCCCTATGTAACTGCAATATACATATATACTAGTAACCCTAACAGTATCACAAACAATACGACGTAGTAGAAGAAACAAGTACCGAAGACAGTGTTGATAGGGTTCGTGGCGACTTGATTCTTGGCGGCGTCACCCATCAAACGTTCGCAATCAGTGAAGGCGACGTAGGAAGGCGTCGTTCTGTTACCTTGATCATTAGCGATGATCTCAACACGGTCGTGTTGCCAAACGCCGACGCAAGAGTAAGTGGTACCGAGATCGATACCAATAGCTGGACCTTCTCTTTCTCTTTTACTAGTCATTGTTAAGAATGAACTAAAGACAAGTCAAGAGATTTTAAAAAAAGAAATTGAAGTGAAGTGCGGCTTTAAGTGTTTAGTTATTTTCGGAGAAGTTTATTTATAGATTCGAGTGCTAGGGTTCCGAGATGTTCGATGGTCGATTCATTTTCCCACTTTTCCTTTTCTTTCTTTAAAAAATTAAGTGACGGTATAGTGGTTTCCAATAAAGGAGGAATTGCCTTGGTGGTCAGAAAAGGAATCGATTTTCCTCTATTGCAAAATTTTTAGTTTCACATATGGCTACACCAATATGGGTTAATGCTTTCGGTCCATTTGAATGTCTAGAAGATGGTCTATCCGTGGGATGTACCTCCATCCAAAAATGAGGTATATGTTTTTAATAGACCCAAATTTAACATTTTCCAGTTAAAAAAAAAACTTAAGCCGCGTATGGATCTGAGAGGTTTGAGAATGTCCGATGCGGTAACTTATTTTCAAATCGACCCTCATTGGCTGTGAAGTTTCCTTTTCTATTGGCTTCACTTGTCCATATATTAGAATAAATATATTGCTCAGGCGGTCATGTGTAGTCCTGAGCATTCGAATTTTCGGTTTGGTTTATTCGGTTTTTGAATTATTCGGGTTGGGAGGTTTAGGAACCGTTTAGAAACTGGACATTTTCAGATCCGTTCGGTTCAGATAATGTTAGGTTCAGGTCGGATTTCTATTTTTTTTGTAAAACTCGAAGTGGAACCGTCTTAAATAATTTGGGTTTACTTCGGGTTTGAAGCCTAATAAACCGAAAAAAATCCTGAAACCCCGAGTTAAACTCGGAAAACCCCAAAAATTATTCGAGTTCTTCGGTAGTTCAGATTTTTAAGATATTTTTATTTATAAATTATATTATATATATATATATACTAAAATTTAAAATAATTAATATTTTTAATATATTCAAAATATTCGGGTATCCGTTCAGTTCTCGGTTCGGTTTCGGTTTTTAGATTTAGAAATATAGGAACAGTTCAAGTTTCTATAATTTTTAGACCGGTTTCAGTATCGGTTTTTTTGTTCGGTTTTTGGATTTTGTATAATATGCCCATGACTAGTGATGTGTAAGGCCTTACGATGTCCCAAAATAGCTTGTGAACAGGTCCGGTCCAGGGCACAGGTAAAAGAAGCCATTGCTTAGGGTCCAAAAAATTTTGTAGCCATTTTAAGCTTAAATCTATTTTTTTTTTTATAAAGGAAAATGATCCATTTTTTGAATTGGAATGTGGCCTATGGTAGGTATGGGCCGGCCTTGTATGTGAAGCAGGTTAATTAGCATTATGAATGGAATCATGTTTTTTTTTTTGAATGGATTCATGTTTTATGTATGTTTTTATTGGTTTAAACACTAATATGTTAATAATATTCTTAGGTTTCAAACCAAATCTCACAATCTTCTGTTGTTATTATTTCAAGTCGAATCATCATTTTATTGTTTGTCAGTATGATGTGTTTCTATAACTATAGGTGTATTAAACTTGTTGTGTGTTGAATCCTTGATTCCCTTTTGGATTTAATATGTTTATTCAAGTTTATGCATAAAAAAATTAAAACACATAGGACACTTGCTAGGACACTGATTATTCTGTATATACATTTAATTTGAGTTCTAAAAACAGATAATTTAATGGGCTTTTTAAGGCCCACTAAGGAGACTCGAGAGAGCTCTCTTCGATTAAATTAGAAACAGGCTTCATATATAAACACCGTTACTAGGGTTTCAGCTTCTCTGAACCAACAAATAGCAGCGGCGCATCAGTTGAACACCATTCAAGCTCACGATGGGTATGGCGATGATGAATCTCTCTTTACACCGGTTTCGTTGTAGAATTACATCTGATTTTATTTTGTTTTTATCGTGTATGTAGCAAGAATTAAGGTTCACGAACTGAGAGACAAGTCGAAGAGTGATCTTCAGAACCAGCTTCAGGATCTTAAGGCTGAACTCGCTCTCCTCCGTGTCGCTAAAGTCACTGGTGGTGCTCCCAACAAGCTCTCTAAAATGTACGTTTTATTACTAAACTCAGAACCTGTAGAATTCGGTTTTAGCTTAATCATGTTTCAGTTCAGAGTCAAATGTTAGGAGAAGTGTGTTTGGTTGTTACATTTCGTGATGCGAATGTATTATTGTTTTAATTGGAAAGTGTTTGAATCTGAAACGGTTTATCTGTTTTGTAATGAAACAGCAAGGTTGTCCGAAAATCGATAGCTCAGGTGTTGACCGTGACATCTCAGAAGCAGAAGTCTGCGCTTAGAGAAGCGTACAAGAACAAGAAGTTTATCCCTCTTGACCTCCGTCCCAAGAAAACACGTGCTATCCGCAGACGCCTTACCAAACATCAGGTTTGTTGATTCTAAAGCTTCTTGACGAAAACATAAAGTCATCAAATTTGTGGTTTTCTGATGTTATTCTTATGCTTTGTTTGTTGTGTAATTGTGTTGCAGCTTTCTTTGAAGACAGAGCGTGAGAAGAAGAAAGAAATGTATTTCCCAATCAGGAAGTACGCTATCAAAGTTTAAAATTATAGCTACTAGAAACTCTGTTTCAGCTTTGTTTTTTGATGGAAACTTGTTCTCCACTTGTGTTATTGTGTCAAAACAGTTTCAGTAACATGGATTTTGGTTCTTATTGATAATTATTTGCATTTTATCTTTGCTAGTTTCTGTTCTTCACCATGAAACTCCCATAGCTATCTGCTTGTTGTTCTGTCTATTATTCACTTGAAATTCGAAGCTAAACAGATCAACGTCGAGTGATTCTTACACAAATATGTGAAAGCATATTATAAAGTTTCAACATGGTTGAGTTATGCTTAGAATGCAATGTGCTTTGACTGCTAGACAAAGTATCGATACAAACAAAAAATTGGGGGTACAAAACTTCTCGCAGATTAGTAGTTATAAGGATTTAGTAACAAACGATGTACTGCCAATATAACATTCTTGTTCGTAGTTGTGTAAATCGTAAGCAAAACTTTCAAAAATATGCGACCACAGTGGGAGTCGAACCCACGACCTTTTGATCCGAAGTCAAACGCGCTAATCCACTGCGCTATGCGGTCATACGTATTGACATATGTGTATATCCTTGGATACTATGCAATGATCATATGCACTCACCTTGTCATCTAAACCTTTTATTTAAGTAATCAGAAGATTCAAAACCGTAGAAAAGTAGATGGGAATGCCGTTACTTGTTTTGCCATTACAGAAAAATGTGATTGGCTACCACTTGAATGCACAAATTTGAGAGTTAAGCAGTAAGACTTGGCTACTTTGGTATGAATTAAACGGGTTCCATACAACATGTTTGGAACAATATAGTATTATATTTCATAACATCAAAATACATGGATCACATATCATCAAATATCAAAGAATGTTAGTTGGAAAAAAATCTGGTACGTTTAAGGTGAAAACGTACCGACGAATCTGTGTGGATATCATGTTTAATGGTATGTTACATCAATATGAAATAGAATATCATGAGATCTAACGAGTCATGTTATACGTGGAATTAGTTGGTACAAAGATTAATCAATGTCTTAGCGATAGTAAATCGATATGTGTGTGTGTTTTTATAATGAAATGACAGTGTATATTCCCAAAGTCATAAATCTATATATTTACCTGTTAATTTCGTTATGAAGCATAGTATATTATGTCATAATATTATAGCTAGAAAAAATACAAAAAATAATTGTCTCAAATATTTGAATTTTCTGGATATAAAGTCACTGATTGTGTATATTATGAGCTAATGCATGATGTTATTGAAGCCTAATTTCTCTTAACTTTTAATTCGAATTTCCATTTTAGATTTTTTCTTCTTATTATTGCCTTGTCCCCTTTTTCAAACGGGGATACTTTGTCGTGAGTCGCGGCTTGTGAGTCCTGAGTTAACGTCTATGGACCAATCATCGAAAATCTACAGTGTAAATTTTGGAAGATTTTGTAAACGTTTTGAAAGCAACAGCAATAACAATAATCTTAATCTTGGAATAACTGAGCCAACAAAACATGAGGTCAGTAATAAGACATGCATGCATGTGAATGTGCTCCAAGACTAGAGGTGTTTAATTATGACATTAATTAAACTGCGTTTCCCATTTTTCAAATTTTCGTTTGGTTAGATATATTCATCAGATACAGTTTAAATGCTTATCTTCCAAGTAATCTCTCTGACAATTTCGGGAGTTTACATCTAACCATGTAAACATGAATTGTGTTCAGTCTGTTCGAATAATATTTAGATATTCTTAAGTTCCTCGTTTTTTCTCTTAAAACTCTTTGACATATAACATACTCCTAATTTTCATCTGACGCGTTTTTGGTCGAACCAAACGTTTAATTAGCACTACTTTTTTAATGTGTTTAATTAGCACTACATAGATGGATTCTAGTTACGACAAAAGTGTCATGCATGGTGGCTTGAAACTGAATATATCTATAGTTTAAATTTGATTCATAAAACTCTACAATCTAAAACACAAACAGCAAACTTAAATATAGATACAAAAATCAATAAACAACAGTCTATTTGTGAAATATAATATCGTAATATATACTATTTGGTTGGGTTTCAAATTTGACGACTTATATTACAATAATACAATTCTCGAGGAAACAAATACGTCAACAATTATACATCCCGGGATATTTGATATCGTCACGCCTTCCGAATATTTAAAGTTGAACTTGACCTTTGATGAAAATAAAATAACTAGAATTTTAAAATGAATCTGCATATAGGCTTCTTATTCAATGCATAAACGGTAAATGATCTACAACAAACTGTTCACATACAACAAAGCTATGTATCATAAATCAACACGCCGTAGAACAAATATTTTTATAACCTGACTGTTGATGAAAAGACAACAGCCACAAGTTTTTAAATCATTTTCAATCATCGAATATGAATCTGCATATAGGCTTATCGTATTCAACGCATAAGCTATCTAACAAACTTATGGCATACGAAAAAGCTAGCAAAACATAGTAACTAAAACGTGGATAATATTTAATTCTACTAATCCTTTTTGTAGAGATCTCATCGAAGTTTTTAATTCTTCATCTTAATAAGCTTACCTATTACTGACAGTTGCATATGCAACAGTAAAATTATGTGTGATCAATGACCGACCAAGCTAAAACTATTTTTATACGCTCATAAGCCAATTTGATAAATAAAGCCAAATTATATAATACTACCATGATATATGAGAACATATTACAATAATGATCCCAATTAGAAGTTTAAATACAAAATTATTGGAGTGAAACACTAATCTTAACTAAATTTAACTAAATTATACTAAAAATAATGTAAACTCATTAATTTATAGGGTCATATGATCTCGTAACTCATCTGCGTGTGTAATTGAGTTTTCTTTTAAAGCTCATTGAAACAAAAAAAAACGATCATGATCAATCTTTTTAACATGGACTATCTGTTAATCAAAATGTCTAAAATTTACTCTTAGGGAAGATTATAAATAAAAGGTTAAAATTCTCACATTTTTTAAGAACAGAAGAAAAATGATGAGTTGAAAATAGTTTTATCCTCCAAGAAAGTATAATAGTTTGTTAAATTGCGTCAACATCAGCAAGTTTTTGTCATGAACGACGCGGTGCATTGACTTTTTATATCTCTTTAATCATTTTACTTTCCAATTTAAGAATTTGATATTTTGTGGGAAGCAGATCGCTTATCCTCTTAGGAGTTAGGACCATCGACGACGACAAGTAAAGTAGGCACAAGGTTGTAATCGACGGTAAGCTCATGGGTCTTGCTCAGGGTCAAGCATACACTATACATTAAATAAACATTACATAATTCCAATGCTTGCTATATGTCTTCCAAGCATGCAGATAAGTAGACGATAACATTTTTAGGGAGTACTAGATTTTCTCTTTAAAATACACTTTCTTTTTGTCGGATTTAATCAATGTTCTGGAAATCGGTAAATGATGGTTAAATATATAAACTTATTGTTTAAATGGATACATAGACCTATTTTATTTAAAATTAAAAATCATTTTGTATATACTTGATTTGCCGGTTAGAACGCTTAACCGCCCTGATATTTAGAACAACAGATGGATCATGTTTTTGAAAAAGATTATACAATATGCATATACAAATCACATCACTCTCTTGCTTTTTTAAATAGAATATCTTTTGTCAGAAAAAGAGACTTCAGGAATTTCACGTCATTTTTTTGTGGAGGAAGATCCATAAAATCATGCAAAGCCTTTGACAAAAATTCATGCAAACCCCACTAACACGTGTATGCACACAGCAAAAACAAACTGTCGAAAACTGAAAAAGTCAACAACAACTTTCTTCGCCTCTTCCTCTCCACAAGTTTTAACGACGTCGTTTAAACGTTGTTGTACTCTCTATAAATACCCCCACCAACGACATCATCCTCTCCCCTCATAACTTATTCACAACTTGCACCGTTTCAAATTACAGATACTTTTCCCTCAACAAGACTCGAATATTAAAAGTCTCTCAGAAATTTCTTCAACGACGACTACTAATGAGGAGAAAACCGATGAGCAGCCTCTGCTGCGTCTCCAAAACGCCGTCGAATCTTCAACCTCCTCTAACGTTAACGCCACGGCAGAGCTTAGAATCAGCGGCTGTCTACGGAATCATCGAATCAGCCGCCGACATAATCCAGAGATGGAACACAGAAACCTCCACTTTCGCCAAAGTCACTTCCCTGTTCTACGAGGACAAGACAGAAGCCATGGTGTTCATTCAACGAGTGAACGATCTACAAAAGACAATGGATCTTCTAGTAACTGAAGATCCAAACTCCGAGAGACTCGTAAGAGCTCATAGACTCATGGAGATAGCTATGAAGAGACTCCAAAAGGAGTTTTACCAGATCTTGTCAATGAACCGTGCTTATCTCGATCCTGAATCAGTCTCTACTCGCTCTTCACTTACTTCAGCAAGATCCAGCTACTCTGATTTTCCCGAAGACGACGATTCAAACACTGTCGGTGATTCAATCGTCGAAGTCGAAGAAGCATCTAGCAACGTCATGACCGACTTGAGATCAATCGCTGAGTGTATGATCGCTTCCGGCTACGCGAAAGAGTGTATCAGCATATATAAAACCATTAGAAAGTCCATCATCGACGAAGGGGTGTACCGTCTCGAAGTGGAGAAGATTAGTACGGCGAAGGCGAAGAAGATGTCGTGGGAGGAGATGGAGATAAAGATCAGAAGCTGGTTAGAGGCGGTTAAGGTCTCTATGGAGACTCTCTTCAAAGGGGAGAAGATACTCTGCGATCACGTCTTCGAATCCTCTGCCTCAATCAGAGAGTCTTGCTTTAGTGCAATCTCGCGAGACGGAGCGATGCTTCTGTTTGGCTTTCCGGAGATTGTTGCTGCTAAAATAATCAGTAAGAAGAGTTCTCCCCCGGAGAAAACTTTCAGGCTGCTCGACATGTACAGCTCCATCGCGGGTAACTGGCAAGCGATTGAATCTATCTTCTCGTTTGAGTCTACCTCTGTGGTACGTTCTCAAGCGCTTAAATCTCTCATCTCTCTCAGCGAATCGATTCGATCACAGCTTAAGCACTTCGAGTCAAGAATCCAGAAAGATTCATCGAAAGTAGTGGTTCACGGCGGAGGAGTTCATCCGCTGACGATCTCCGCCATGAACCACATCTCTCTCCTCGCAGACTACAGTAATGTACTCGTGGATATCCTCTCGGGATCTCCTCCACCGGATAGATCACTCCTTCCGGAGTCTTACTTCAATGTGTCTGACTCGGACGATTCACCCTCGTCCGAATTAGCCATACGATTCGCGTGGCTTATCCTCGTCCTCCTTTGTAAAATCGACCGTAAAGCAAATCATTACAAGGACTGCTCCGTGCAGTATCTCTTCCTCACCAACAACCTCCAGCATGTTGTCTCACGTGTTCGTTACTCGAACCTTAAGCAGCTACTCGGTGATGACTGGGTCACGAGGCACGTCGCTAAGATTAAGCAATTCTCCGACAGCTATAAGAGACTTGCGTGGGGTCCAGTGTTGGCAACCCTACCCGAGAATCGTGCCGTGGAGATGTCGGTGGAGGAAGTGAATGAGAGGTTTGAAAAATTCAGCGAGAGCTTTGAGAGGGCATACAGTAAGCAAACTGCATGTGTTGTACCAAATACAGAGCTACGAGAGGATATAAAATTGTCAATTACGAGAAAGTTGGTACCAATTTACCGCGAGTTTTACAATACGAGAAGGGTTGTTATCGTGGCGGGAGCTGGTGGTGTGAGAAACTTGAGCTCTGATGTTCGATTTACCCCTGAAGATGTTGAAAACCATTTGTCTGATTTGTTCTCTGGTGAGGGTGCTTCGGGGAGTTCATATGTCTCTTCGCCTT